TTTATTCGTGCAGGCATGTTTTTAGGATTAGAATATAGTGTAAAAATTATCGTTTTTAATTGTCTCGCGTCTAGAATAAAGCTAGGTCCCGTTTCTTCTCCCGCTGCAAAAGAAGGCGAAAAACACAAGCAGCACAACAGTCGAGCGTGGTTCCAGGAGAACGATGGCGGTTGTTGTATTGTCCGTGATTGTGAGGAGTACGAAATGAGAAAGTTACGAACCACGGTTCGAAATCGACGCGTTTTTTGCCCCTTCCGTTTAAGTGGAAACGAGAGTTGGAGTGCAGTTTTTGTGGCGTGTGTCCGCTGGAGGGATAATTCCCAGCATCGTCGCGCGATAGTGACGTCGTTTCCCCGAAAAGTGCCGTGGTCCGTGAGAAGAAGCGAATGGTGTCGGATCGCCGCCAAGGGAAGCTAAATTTCAAGGATTTTTCCGCTTCCCGACTAACCCCCAAGGATCCCCGACCACCCACCGTCCTCACTGCGGTGGCTCAGCCAGTAGAGCCAGTCTCGCCACCGCAGTTACGAGCCAAGGAGGGACGAAGCAGGCCGAACCGAAGGAGCGTTCGCCTGGGTAGTGCGCTGCGGTGACTACCGGGACCATCTACGGTGAGTAGTTGGTCCGGTGATTCGTCACCATCGTCGTCGAGAGGGGGGGGGGGTTCCGGTAAAGGAGCCTTGCTCATCCCTCCGCTAAAAGCAAAGGACCGCTGCTAGGCAGCTGAAAGTGAAGTAGGAGACGCTCGGCACAGACCTTGTCTTGAGCCGACGTGAACAAGCCGCAGCCACCGCCGCTATCGTCGAAGGGCCCCACCGAGTGACACCGAAGACAACGAAGAGAAAAGGGAAAGGTTAGATTGTAATAGACGTCTTAAATTTCATGTTGCTTTCTCTTTTTCTTATCAATCCATCCAAATCCGAACGTCTTTGGGGAAGTACTCTGCTCGTAGCCGCCCGGGGTAAAATTGGGCCAGCTATAGGCTGGCAGGTAAGCCGCAACTTACAGAGTAGCGTACCTATTCGAAATATGTACACTCAAGCTACCCTCACCGCTGTTCTTCTTCTCCGCTTTCTCTCGGAGCCTGCTCCGGGAGCGCATTCTTCTCATCACATGAAGCGACCAACATTACTGACGACAGAGTAACAATAACCGAACTGTACTGCTTGAAGTTCAAGCAGAGAATCAGCAATGAGCAGAGGCACGACAGCAGCGCTTTTTATATCTTTTCAGGTTCAAGCAGAACGATGAGCAAATGCCCCTGACAGGATTTCCCGCCGTTTTTTTTATGAATGGGGTGGGGCAGAAAGTATCTTTTAAGCAGAATATGTAAAAAGGATGGACTTCGGATGTTAATCTAATTGCATATATATAGAGATACCAGATATGTTTTGCAGTTGTTGGTTAATCACCAACAGAACATCATCGAATGCATGTATATATGCCTCTTAAGCATATTTTTCTCAAATTTGAAAGTTTGGGCTCTCTGGTAAGCGGGTACAAAATTAACGTTTATACTTATAATTTAAGTTTGCTTAACAATTATTTCCCTGAAAAAAGTAATCGTCAAAGTCCATGTCTTTTTCGGGTTGTCGTTATAGGGGTGGGGGGAGGGGAAGGGATATGTTTTGCATGTATAACTTTTCCACGTTTCAACTTAGTTAAACGGGACGCACCCCATCGCTGGTTGTGAAGGTGATCACGCCGTGATCCACCTTTATCCGCTGACTTGCTCCTGCTTGCTGCAGGACCAAGCGCCACGCCGACCGAAGCGGTTATGAGTAGAGGCACGACAGCAGCGCTGTTTTATATTTTTTCAGGTTCAAACGATGTGCAACCAAGTGGTACTCGATTATGAGGACTGCGTTTGGGCAAAACGTTTATTTCATGAAAACAGCGATAAAATTGTCATTTGTACATTTTTTAAAAGGATTTTATAAAAAATTGGAAAAATATATATTGTAGCAGATTCGTAATGGAATATCCTATCGATTGGCATATTTGGATTTTAATTTCATCTATAAATGACAAAGTTACAACTTTTCAAAACCTAACACTATTTTACCACACATTTCTAGATAGAGCTGGAATTAGGGCGTAACAGCCTTTGTAAACAATGGCTTCTATCGATGATTTCTAGGAACGCCCACGCAAACAATCAAAACCGTCGCGTAGGGGATGTCTTTCCCTACTCGATGATGTTGTTGATTTGCGTTGGCGAGTCTTAACTTTCTAGAAATCATCGAAAGGAGTCATTGTTTACAAAATGTATAGTTCAGTGTAGTCGATAAAGACGTAGTTCTACGTCAAAAAATAGTCACAGTCCAGTCTGACATAAGGTAATACCACAAACGAAGTGACAGACGACTACCTGGCGAAGAAATCCATTAAAATAATGTGGTTCACTGTAATAGAATTTTCTTGGAAGCTTGTGCCATCATCCACCAGATGGGTTAGTTTTTATGTTTTGATTTGAACAAAGTTGATTTTGTGTACAATGATTCTTTGACAGTGTGCAAAGAGTGCGTATCATTTTGCAATTGTTTTATGCATTTCAGTTTTGAGTAGAGTGAAAGAGATAGTACCAAAACATTCTAGTACATTTGGTGAAAATGCTAGTTCAATCTAGTAGTAGTGTTGCCATGTGGTACAATCCAGTAGTAGTGGTGTTGCCATGTGGTACACTGAAAAATTGCAATAGAAGGTTAGTCACCAAAGTTTTCGAGCCGCTCCGTCTGTCACTTCGTTTGTGGTAATACTACCATAGAGGTAACTCTAAGACCACTGGGTCCCGAAGAAAATCATTATTATTTTTGGCTCACTCAGTACCAAAACAACGGTCCCAAGCAGTCCCAAGCTATTTCACTCACCCCTGCATGTTCTGCATGAATCCACACACCCCTGATGTTATCTGTCAAACTTTCATAGCGAATCAAAACAAACATAGTGTAGTAATAGAATTTCAACTAGAATAGGGTACGTTAATCGTTTGTTTGGGACCAATAGGCTACTAAAGTGGTGAGCCAATTTAAAATCGTTAGTTTTGTATTGATTGTTGATACTACCCAGCGTCCACAAATAATTAGAACTTGCACTGCCACTTCGTGTGTTCTATGTTCAAGAATTAAATTTGCTTCTCCATGGTAAGCAGTTTTGTTATAATATGTTTTCTGGTAGCAGATAATTACATTAAAAACTTATAATACCTATCTGTCATGGATACCAAAATTAATTAAGTGGAATTAAATGGAAGATAACCTTTTTGCTGTTTTATTTAAGCATTCCGCTAACAACCCAATTTCATTACTTCACAGCAGATAAAGGGTGATACGGTCAAAATTTGGTCAAGGGAAAACGCGTGTAAATCGGTGAAATCGTTTATTTAAAAAATCAAATTAAATTTCTTTTTCAAGTTCAATTAGTATAAAATTCAGGAAAAATATTCAGTTAGGCTTCCGCTTTTCCAAATCCGAATTGCCGGGCCTTACGCTTGACCCCTGCCATCAGATTTTGTACAGCCACCTTGTCCACCTTCTTCGCCGCAGAAAGCCAGTTTGCCTTGAACTGCTGCTCGCTCTTAGCAGTTTTTTTTGGTCTTCTTTAGGTTCCGCTTGACAATAGCCCAGTATTTCTCAATTGGGCGGAGCTCTGGCGTGTTGGGAGGGTTCTTGTCCTTGGGAACCACCTGCACGTTGTTGGCGGCGTACCACTCCATGGCCTTTTTACCGTAATGGCAAGATGCCAAATCCGGCCAAAACAGTACGGAACAACCGTGTTTCTTCAGGAAAGGCAGCAGACGTTTATTCAAACACTCTTTCACGTAAATTTCTTGGTTGACAGTCCCGGAAGCTATGAAAATGCTGCTTTTCAAGCCACAGGTACAGATGGCTTGCCAAACCAGATATTTCTTTGCGAACTTTGACAGTTTCATGTGCTTGAAAACATCTGCTACCTTTCCCCTTCCTTTTGCCGTATAAAAATCCTGTCCCGGAAGCTGCTTGTAGTCGGCTTTGACGTAGGTTTCGTCGTCCATTACCACGCAGTCAAACTTCGTCAGCATCGTCGTGTACAGCCTCCGGGATCGCGCTTTGGCCGTCGTATTTTGTTTATCATCGCGATTTGGAGTCACTACCTTCTTGTAAGTCGATAGTCCGGCTCGTTTTTTGGCTCGATGCACGGTTGTAGACGATACACCCAGCTTATTTGCGGCATCTCGGAGAGAGAGGTTAGGGTTTCGCTTGAAACTACCGGCAACTCTCTTTGTCGTCTCAGCGGCTTCCGGTTTTCGATTTCCCCCCGATCCAGACTTCCTGGCTGTCGACAAACGTTCCCCAAACACTTTAATTACATTTGTAACGGTTGATTTGGCAACTTTTAGCGATTTTGCCAACTTTGCGTGCGAGTAGCTCGGATTTTCGCGATGCGCGAGCAAAATTTTGATACGCTGCTCTTCTTGCTTGGACGGCATTTTGACAACTGAAGAGTGAATTCCAAAATCAAAATAGGAGCAACATTCTACACACACACCTTCAAAATGAGGGGTGTTCAGGTTTTTTAAATGCAAAATTGAAAGAAATACGTCAAGTTGATATTGACCAAATTTTGACCGTATCACCCTTTAATTATTCTCTGGAAAAAGCGAAGTGGCATATCACCTTAACACTGACCAATTGATTTTGTGAATGTGAATTTATCTTCAAGTTAGCGGCGCCGGTGGTGTAGTGGTAAGCGTGATTTCTTCTCACCCCAAAAGGCCTGTTTTCAATGCCAGTCGGCGCCACCGGGATGTTCTGAGGCATAAAATCTCTGATCACGCCTGCCTTTGGAAGGGAAGTAAAGCCGTTGGTCCGCGGTTCATGAGTTGATGATTCGATAGGTAGGGTCCCGATATGGGAGCTACCTCCTCGGCATCGGTACCATTGGTACTCAGCACGGAGAACAAGATCGACGGAAAACAAATCAAATATCTTCAAGTTAATAAGTATAACAATTCTTTGTTTCAGCTCAAAACAATGGATGATAAGCTGAATGAGTTTAAACTCAATGAGATAGAAAAACGAAATATGCTCGAAGAATCTGAGAAACGTAAGAAACGCCTACAAGAGATAGATCGAGAGCGTCAAGCAAAAGGTACTGTGGGAAATGTATTAGATGAGCATAAAGACGAAGATTCCGGCACAACCGCTCGAAAAATCATCGATAGAGCATTCATAGCTAAGCAAGAACAAGAAGAGGAGGTTAAAAGGGCCAATAGAATTATTTTGGCTGCAAAGTGTCACATTATACGAGATGCTCAGATAGCAGAAAAACAAGAAATAGAACGAGAACTGCGATCAGAAGAGCTTCGATTGGAAAAGATGATGCTAAATGAAAATGAGAAAGCATTAAAAGAAGAAGAAAAAAAGCGAGAGTTGAATAAAATGCTTACAACGCAACATTCCGAAGAAATTCGCAATCAGCTTTTGCAAAAAGACAAAATGCGATTGAAAGAAGCTGAGCGAATCGAGGAGGAAGCCCGAGTTTTAAAGGTAACGATTTATATACATTTTTTTGGGTAATTGATAAAAGTGGAAAAGTATACTAGTTATAAAACACATGCCAAAAGTTTCTATTTACGAGCATTTGAGCGTACAGCAGCACATTATTTTATTGGCAGTTATAATCTACAAAATATTCTTCAAGTATTGGTCTCTTGAATATGGGAATATGAGTAGCTTTCATGGAATAAATTTATAAGTATTGTTTTAAAGAAAATTTGGTCTAGTTTCTCACCCTATACACTATTTTTTTGTCGAGGTAGGCATCACCGAGATGCTCGGCATTTTATGTTGCTGTATCTCAGTGAAAAACTTGCCGAGATTCAGCAAAATTTATGTTTGTTAGCTGAAATCTCGGCTAAATTCCCGTTTGTTAGCATATTGAATTCTTAAAAAGTTCTATAGCACGATTGAAAAGATGTCTTGTGTGTTTTTAGAAACTTCTTGTAGATTCAAATATATTGTTTTTGGTAACATGGGACACTTGGACTGCACTATTGGGACCAGTCTTGTAAGCGGTCACGGTGGTCGACACATTTTCTGTGATAATCGACTGCCTTTGCCTCCGACACTTGCAAAACAAGCTATCATAGTACACTACCAAACTCAAGTGTCATTTGACAGGCTCTGTCATACGACACTGTCGCCGAAGACCGTCACAAATGTATGTATTTTAGTTTTTCACATAATAAGAGCTGCTGATGTTGTGCTTGTGTGAATTCTGAAAATAGCAAGCAATGATGGCCTAGGAATAACATTTCTGATCAGAAATAGTTTAATTTACACCACACTGAGGAATTAGAACGAAATGACTCATGTCATATGATAGTTATTTGTTAATTTTCTTTTTGCTCGAATGTTATTCTACCGGTTGTGTTGTGTGAGAAAGACGACGGTAGAGCATGAGAGTACGAATAAAAACAGACTGTCGCACATGACAACGAAGCGAGTGTCGTAAAAAACGTCAACAGTTTCAACCCCTTGGGACACTACAATAATTCAGAAATAGTGTTTGTGTGTGGTATAGGTTCCAAATTACTATGGAAGAATTTAAAGAATGTGCAAACCAAAATAGGTCGTGGGAAAAAATCGTTTCAAAAAATAAAGCAGCAGGTCCATCCAAAACTACTTCTCCTATTTTGATGGATATCATGTTGCCAAAATATCGCTAGCATTAAACCATCGTATCGAAGCTTAATTTTCATATGAGCGATAAAGAAGCCATTTTGATTTTGCACAAAGCCTTTTTCCAGTCATTTGTCTCTATTGAGAACTATTCTTTGTCAACATATGGGTTTATTTATTCTATTAAAAGCGTAAACCATGATTAGGAATCTTCGATCAAAGTCAAAAAGGTTGCGTAGATATGAACAATTAAAAAAGTCGATTTTCTTGAATAACCGAGGGGCACGCAATTGCCTTTTTGACTACGTTGGATTTAAAGTACAAGGTGTTCAACTATATACTTACGTTTCAGGGAAAATAATTCGACGCAACTGACAGGCACAGTCAGTGGGCCTCATAGCCTAGTCAGTAAAGGCACGGTATTACCAAGCCGGAGGCGGCGGGTTCGATTCCCGGTCCGGTCGAGGGAATCTTTCGGGTTGGAAATTTTCTCGGCTTCCCTGGGCATAGAGTATCATTGTGCTTGCCACACAATATACAAATTCATGCATTGGTATTGGCATCGAAAGCTCTCAATTAATAACTGTGGAAGTGCATTTAGAACACTAAGTTGAGAGCACGCAATAAGCTAATATGAGCTAAGCAATAAGCTTGAAATGCAAATAAGAAGAAGACAGGCACAGCATCCTATTAAAGCTGATAATCTGACGCCAAATGCTAATTTTGCTCGGAATTGGCAATAATTAAGTAATTAAAAATGAAAATGTTATTAAATTTAATTTCACGTAATTAAAGCAGTGCCAGTGTAATTACTGTAATTAAAACACGTACTTCGATTTGATGACGTAATTAATGTAATTAAAATTTTATTTGCTGTAGTTAATGTAATTAAAAAAGTACCCAAATCCTTATTCTTGAACAATTTAAAAAACAAACGAAAAAACATGACCAATTCTGCGAATAATTTTACTAAATTTCTTAAAGCACCAAGCACAAAGTGTCGGGTGTCACTATTGCCGCTAGAGTTGGAAACTGAGAAAACCAACTCGCGACAATCGATTCCACTCTCGTTCTGCACGTTAAACATAATGTCGCATCTAGTGCACTGTATTCGTTGAATAATGCGCACAAGATGCGACGTTATGTTTAACATACACAACAAGAATAAAATCGATTGTCACGAGTGGGTTATATCGGTTTCCAACTCTAGCGACAATATAATATGATAAGGAAGTGATACTCATAATGAGGGCCGTGATTGCCGTACAAATGAAATGGGAATCACTTAATTGTGGCGACAAGTGACACCGTAACCTGACATCCGTTATAAGGCCGAATAGTAGTTTTAAAATGTTTAATTAGAACCTCAACTTTGAGTCTTCAAATTTTACATTCCCTTAAATGTAAAATGTCCCTCGAGCAATTCCCTCCCATTAAATTTTTTTCGAATTTTAAGCTAAGCTCGCAGCACAGGTCGAGAAATGATGATATTAGCTTGTGCCTGAATTAACAGATTCGATGGAAGATGCATTTGCAGTTGCTTTAATTTTCTAATGTTACGCGTGAATTCTTCGATTCCTTCAATATTTCTTTCAAACTCAATATAATGATACTAATAATAATTAAAAGATTTAAGCATACATTTTGATTTATAATTTACCTTTCTTACATCCTGAGGGTTAAGTTCGAAGAGGCAACATGTGCTTAACATAAATTTCAATTGTAAATCTGTTTTCGTTCACATCCACCAAATTAAATTCGTTATTTGTTTCGTTAAACCAGTTAGCATAAACAAAAATTCCTTTCATTGACGAATTCTCCGGTGCTTGGACAGGGGCGTGATCCAGGATATAGGTATTTGCCTTGCCAACAGCTCGGCTGTACTGAAATCCAACTGTATATGAATTGGCACCAATCACCAACGTAGAATTCCTCGTGGGTCCCGGAAGACTGTATGTTTAAAGGGTCGGTATAGGGTCATTACAGCGCAACCTGGTCTATACAAGGTGTGGAATTCAAGGACTAAATATATTGGTGCACTTCGTGTTTCACTCGGCTTTCATTCCGCTTCACACGATTTGTTACATTCGTTCGCTCAATTACGCTTTTAGTGCCGTCATAACGTTCGCAACGATCAGCATTTGCATAGGAAATTTAATATGGATTATAGAACTCCTGTACGTTACCAAAATTTACGAATATTGTTCCACTGAATGTTGAGATAATTTATTGATTATTGTATTATCACCCAGATTATCACACTGTATACCACACACAAAAAATAAACGTTACTATAATAAAAAAAACCATTGGTAGAACTAAAAGTTTGCATTGGTTCTTTTTGGTAGAAAACGGTTAATTTTCAAAAAAAAAATCAAGATATCAAATTCAAAGTCTTAATTATTCAACTGTAAGTTACAAACGTATATTTTTCAATTGTTATAGGGGAAAAGTCGGCTTCGGTAATATCTTAATTTTGGCATGTGGATACATTGTGTTTCAGAGCATCTATTGGGCATATTTTTTTTCTTCAACTGAACATCTTTTTCGGGATATTATACTCAGGTACTTGGCTACACCTTCCGACTCGAGATCGTTCAACTAGAAGATAGACAGAATTGAGCATCATAGCTGAGACACGACTCTCCAAAAGTCGGTTACTCAGTAGATCGTTTTGGCGATGGTAACAATCACCAGGTGCGATGATGGAAGCGCTGTGGAGACAATAAAAAACGTCTTTAGGGCAAAAATTATCAATTCAGTACATTACATACCAACTATTCACTTACAACATTACATACCAACTATTCACTTACAACAGGGAACTGAAAAATTTAAAAAATCAAAAGCAAAAAGCGCACAAATTTTATTAAAAAAATAATAGCGAAGAAACTTTGGCATACTATTTAGACATTTGCGATCAGTTAAATTTAGCCGTGAATATGGCATTTGAGGAGTACAATTTAAAACCTGAACTTGAAATAAAATCTTGTCCTAGGAAATTCTTCAATTATGTGAAAACCAAATTAAAATCTGATAATTTTCCATCAAAGATGCATTTGGACGATAGGGTAGGTGAGAACTCGGATGATATATGCAATTTGTTTGCAAATTTCTTCCAAGAAATCTATACTACGTTTTCAGAAGAGGACCGTGACCGTGAATATTTTGAATCTTATCCAGAATTTTCAAGTGACATCAGCGTAAGTCAAATCAAGGTTCATGATATCTTAAAGGGTTTAAACAGTTTAGATGCATCTAAAGGTCCTGGCCCTGACGGTGTTCCACCAGTTTTTATTAAAGCTTTAGCAACTGAACTTACTGCTCGATTATTTTGGATTTTCAATATGTCACTGGAATCCGGAAACTTCCCTAAAAGATGGAAAAACTCGTTTTTAGTGCCTATCTTTAAATCGGGCAAAAAATCCGACATACATAATTATCGTGGTATAGCTATAATCTCTTGCATTCCGAAACTTTTCGAGGCGATTGTGAATGAAAAACTCTTTCTTCAAATTAAAAAACAGAATAACTACTATGCAACATGGCTTCTTTAAAGGCCGTTCAACAACTACGAATTTGCTCGAATTAGTTAATTATTCCTTGAATGCAATGGATAACGGAAACCATGTAGAAGTGTTGTATACAGATTTCAGCAAAGCGTTTGATCGAATAGACATACCCATGCTTCTTTTTAAACTTCAAAAAATTGGAATTCATTACGCACTCCTCAAGTGGCTTGAATCATATTTAACTGACCGCCATCAAATAGTAAAATCTCCCATTTAGGACCGCTTTTATTTATTCTCTTCGTCAATGACATATCTTTCATTATTAAGAAATTGAAAGTTTTAATCTATACTGACGACATTAAACTTTTTTTTGGAAATAAAAGATGCCAAAGACATCATCACATTCAATGAGGAAACACAGATATTCCATACTTGGTGCCAAAAAAGCCTGCTACAATTAAATATAAAAAAATGTAACTCAATTACCATTAGTAGAAAACGAACCCTACCCGATACAACAATCACTTTAGGAAACCATATCGTTGAAAAGTGTGATAGAGTCAGGGATCTAGGTGTTATTTTGGACTCAAAACTTACTTTCACCGCTCATTATAACACAATTATTAACAGAGCTAACAACATGCTTGGTTTCATAAAACGTTTCTGCTATAACTTTCACGATCCGTATACGATAAAAACATTGTACATTGCTTATGTAAGATCGATATTAGAATATTGCAGCATAGTTTGGTCTCCTTTTTCAATCACACACGAAGAAAGAATAGAGTCCGTTCAAAAGCAGTTTCTATTGTATGCACTCCGCAAGTTAGGTTGGACTGTATTTCCTCTGCCATCTTACACAGCTCGGTGTATGCTCATAAATATCCAAACATTAAAAGAGCGTCGTAAATTTGCTATGATTTCTTTCGTAAACGATATCGTATCACATCGCATTGATTCTATAGAACTATTGTCATCCTTAAATTGATATACACCATCTAGGCATTTACGAAATAGAAATATATTTGCTACAAATCGTCATCGTATGAATTATGCCAAATTTGGACCCTTGAACCAAATGATGGATACATATAATAAGCACTGCGATAACATTGACTTTACAATGACAAAAACCAAATTAAAGCAATATTTTAATTCCTCGCATAACGTCAGCTAGAAGTAATGTTTTAACTTGTTCTCAAGACATATTATAAAAAAATATAAACAAAGACAAAATTGTAAACATAGCTCTTAAGACAACAAATGTAAAACGGTCTACACTGATTGACGACAAATAAATAACAAAACGTAAAAAAGATTTTGTTGTCGCTTATAGTTCCAGCCATTCTAGCTCACGGCTGGACTAGGTGATTGCCTTCTCCCGTACACTGGAGTTGCTTTTTATGCGGGGGATACGTGCCGCGTAAAAAAAAAACTACCGAGATTTTAATTTTTCACATGCTTAAATATTTATTATAAATCGCATTTTTGATGCCATTCGTAATTATAGTATGCTATGGTCCATATAGACATATTTTAAAAATTTCTGTATTTACACCAAACATTATGCCATTCGATTACCTATAGCTTGTATGCCATTCGATTACCTATAGCTTGAAACGGATAATGTGATTGGAATCAAGTAGATAGGTTGTATCGTTGTCGAGAAATCGTTAAAAACGTACCGCATAAATTGCGACTCAGCGGCACTAACCGTGTAAAAAAACCGCGTAAAAAAAAAAACCGTCCCATGTTCTATACAATCCTTATGCACAGTAGTGGGGCTCTTATGCGTATAACGACAGTATACACCTCGTAGATCTTGAGATATGTGCTCTTGAAATTGCGAGGTGTGATGGAAAAACGGACTCTACGAGGAAACACCTTAAGAAAGGTAGGAGTTAAAAGTTATTGCGTGCCCCTCGTGAAAAATACACCTTTTTATGCACCGTGTAATTCTCCAACCATTTTCGTACGGCTTAAAGGCATATTTACAGAAAAAAAACTGCATAGCTCTGTATTGCTGGCTTTAAACTACTAAATAAATAAAAAAAAAAATATTATGTTGATGGTTTAAATTAAATACTCCCACCAATAGATTTTTGCAGAAACGAAATTCATTTAATTTTACTATTTTTCTATCAAAACTACTATGCCGTTTGAGTAAGCATAGTAGTTTTTACAGAATGGTAGTAAATTTGATAATATTCATAGTCAATTATACTGAAATCATGGTAGATTTAACGATATTAAGCGTAGTTATACTGAAAATTATTGTTTTCTGCAAAATAGTATTCCTATCTATTATCTTTGTTTCAGTATAATTAAACTTTTAATTAGGCCTATTTTGCGTGACGTGTGAGGTGAGGTGACAGTGAAGTGATGGTGATGTGACAATTGTCACCTCGGGTGAGGTGACTCTCCATTTGATTTACACGGAGAGTCGCCTCACCCGAGGTGACAATTGTCACTTCACAAGTGACAGCGTGTCACCTCACCTCACACGCCGCGCAGAATAGGCCAAAATCATCAATGTCTGAGCTTGTTCAGATGCTTGGCAAAGTAATGCAATCTCAAAATCATCACAACGTGAATCAATTGGATGAACAATGTGATGAAAAGTCAGAAAAATTCATAAACTTACAATAACAAATGAGGTTAAAGGACTAATGTTGAGTCAAACTATTGTTTTACTTTATGAAATGATACTCTCTCACTCAGATACTTAGGCCTATTCTGCGCGGCGTGTGAGGTGAGATGACTCGTTGTCACTAGTGAAGTGACAATTGTCACCTCGGGTGAGGCGACTCTCCATTTGATTTGCATGAAGACTCACCTCACCCGAGGTGACAATTGTCACTTCACCATCACTTCACTGTCACCTCACCTCACACGCCGCGCAGAATAGGCCTAACTAGTAGGCACCCAAAAGAACATGTGGTGGTTGAGTGTGATGCGAGAATGATGAATCACATCCCGCTTACTAGGGGAGCTGGACCGTCTCTATCACATCACTGATTCGTAAGATTGATGAGGGTAGCATCAAGTCTACGGTAGAATAATGGTGAGTGCAGTGCCCGTCTAGTGTACTGGGAGGCGTGGGTTCGATGCCGTCCTGTAGGTAGTGGATTTTTTTTCACCATGTTCCAGTATCGTTTCATAAAGATTATGGTAAGTTTAAAGATTTTTCTGACTTTACAGGTGATTTGTATAACAAAAATATGTACTTATTTATTTAAAAATTCGACGTCATTTCACAGAAACTGGATGAAATTCTTTTTGTTTTGATCGAATAATGATATCCTAAGCTTTATTATACGAATAAAATGAAGTATGTATGAAAAAATATAGTAGCTCGATGGTTTTGACCAATTTTTGGTGTGTACATGCTTTAGGTACATCCGTTCTTAGGGTTCGGTATTTAATATCATATTTCTTTTTTTAGCACGCACAACAAGCTATAGTAGCCGATGAGAAACGCAAGGAAATGGAGAAAATTAACAGGATTAATGTCGTCCGAAAAGATTTAAAAAAGGCCTATGAACTTTCGGCATACTACAAGCAGTTAGAATTTGAAGAGCAACGTATAGCTGAATTGAAAGTACAAGAGTACACGAGACTGCGAAATGAACGAAAAGCAAAAGTTGAATTCGAGAAGAAAATTGCAGCAGAGGCCAAAGAGCGTGAACAGGATCGGATGCTGAAAATTCAACAAAAACTTTTCATCACGAAATCAGCCAAAAATGATATGGATCTCCGTAGGGGTCAGGAGCACGTAGAGCGTGAATTCCGAAGACGGGAAAAAGAAGCAGTTATAAGAAAACGTGAATTAGAACAACAAATTGCTGTAGCTAGAGCAGCGCAACTCGAAGCAGTGGTAGGTTAAGTCTCTTTTAATCTGTTTGAAGGTGTCCATTATCATTAAATCTTGCTTTCAAATTAATCTTGATGAGGTGCAACGAATGATAAAAAATACTATAAATATAATTGAAAAACAAAAAAAATGAAAAATTGCTCCATAAAATGCATAAGCAGCAACGGAAGACATATGTTTTACCAATAAAAAAATCGTAAATGTTCCATAAATAATTGAGGTATTCCAAATAAAAATGGAATATTTTTCTGCAATAAAAAATATATCAAAATTAACACTAAAATAGTTGGAAAAAATAATCGATTTCTTTTCAAACATTGCTTCTTGCGGTTTGAAAATTTGAACATTTTATTAATTTTAGTAACAGCGACATTATGTAGAAATAATATAGGTATCGAGCAGATTGTACCAATATTGATATTTTTAATTAATTTCGCCATACATTCTCAATTCGATCAAGTAAAATTTCACTAGATTTTTTCTTTTCAAAAATCGGCTACGGCTAAAAACCTCATAAATAAAGTAATAGAAAAAAAGAATTGTATTTCAGGAAAATCTTTCAAAATTTAAGTATAATCATAGACATAGTCTAATTTTCATCGATTTTTCTCACATTCGAGCCGTTTCTTAAGGAGAATTTAAAAAAAATCAGTACCCCCACTCTTCGCATTTTTTTTTGTTGAATCCCAGTTTGTGTTACTCTCATCGGCCGTGTACATTCGTGTTATTGTGTAAATGTGGAATTCAATCCACCAAAAACAATGTTACAGCTATACTACATATAATCGCATATCAGTCCCACATGGATAAATTAGGCATTGAGAAAATGGCAGTCGAAGTTGCTATTCCCATGTAAATATTTGGAAAATCATTGAAAATTTATAAACATTTTTTTTTCAAGTTATAGTCAGTTGCAATGAAGCTTCATGTATTTTCATATAAGGCTAATGTGCGATTACTTTACTTGTTGGGACAAACTGACTTGATGTTGATTTCACTTTTCTCATGATCTAAGTCGGTAGTTGCTGGCGACGGTGATGTAGTGGTAAGCGTGACTGCTTTCTCACCCCAATGGGTCTGGGTTCAATCCCAGCCTAGGTCGATGGGATTTTTCTGAGGCATAAAAATGTCTGGGCATGTCTTCCTTCGGAAGGGAAGTAGAGCCGTTGGTTCCAGCCTATGTGTGGTTTGAATGGGTGCGATATCCTACGCAGGTGTGGAAGCTGCCTTCCTGCACATTCGATTGCTGTCAATGGATGGCAATCGATGTCCGTCGGTGATTGGCACAAGATTGCGGAACAGATACCAACGTTAAATAAAGGAATGAAGGTCCGTAGTTTTATCACATAATATGAAAGTAGATGCCAATTGATAGTGGATTGCGTTGCTATCTCAAAATTATCAAAAATCCATATACGACTTATATGCGATTATAGGCAGCATAGGACTCTTTCTCTCAAATCCGTTTTTTATTATCTAACTAAAAAAAAATTTACTATCAAAAAAGATTTTGTCGTGAACAATAAAGAAGTTATTTTTATTATGCTTCAAATATTTATATTTTCTATTTTCCCAGAAAACGGAACGGGCAATGCAGATAGCTCGAGATGAATTGGATCACAAGAAAGCCGTAGAAAAGTTTAAACAGGAAGAACAGAAAGAATCAGAGACCAGAAAAAAGCACTTGCGTCTACGTGAAAACTATCGGGAAGGTAATGGACAAATATCAATCAGAAGAGAAGTACAATATAATTTGCAACTTAAACTGGACACTTCAAAAGTGTGATAAATCTTATAAAAGCACGCGTTGACGTTGTAGCGTATTGGTGTCTTCTGCGTACTTATCCTTTATTAACTAAGTAATAAGTGTGCTGTGGACTCCAGAACGATTAACCGTACACGTGAACTTTTATAAGCGCTTCCACATTTGTAGATAAGTACTAGTCACAATTATGTTCTTTATACTAAAGCGTAGCCAATGTGAAGGTTGCAGAATATTTCTCAGTTGGATGAAGGTAATAAAAACGCAGCGTTCTGGTTGAGGTTTTCCAATGCCTACTGTGCCTACTCTCGACCTGCCGAGCGACAGCCATGTTCACTTATATCGATCACTTCGATCGGTTTTTCGTCCGCACTCTTAAAGTACTACAGCCACCTCAGTCAGGAGCTTGAGACTCCCTGGCTACACGGAAAGGATCGACTCGCTTATCGAACTACGTTTCCGCTCTATCCAGTCTCTTTTTCTCCCACTCAGCTCACCGACCATGTGTCTTCGTCGACTGCTCCTCTCGGCTTCTTCTTCACATTTTACCTCCTTAACGTTCACCTTCGGTGACGACGGATTCCTCGTTCGCTCGCGACTTTTCTTCTGTCAAGGCTTCTAATGATAGCGGCACCGGTGGTGTAGTGGTAACCGTGATTACCTCTCACCCCAGCAGGCCTGGGTTCAATCCCAGTCGGCGCCGCCGGGATGTTCTGAGGCATAACATCTCTGATCACGACGCCTTCCTTCGGAAGGGAAGTAAAGCCGTTGGTCCCCGTTTCATGAGTTGATGGGTCGATAGGTAGGGTCCAGGTGTGGGAGCTGCCTTCCTGGCGTCGGTAGCATTGGTGCTCAGCACGGAAAACAAGATCGACGGAAAACAAACCAAGGAAAAAAAGAGGCTTCTGATAGAGGACGACGCGGTAAGATGGTCACCCGGTTTAAGACGGCCATCCTTTAGATTATTGCAACAATCAACTATTGAAACAAATTAGTGATGCAGAGTTCTTTGCTTGGTTTGTTGTGTTGGTTGTAAAACACATTATAACTTTTTAACAAGTGAAACGTCAAAATAAACATCAAAAACAAACATTGTGTATGGTGGCGGCCTGTTTTAGAGTTATTATACCATCATGAAAAAGTAACGTTACTATAGGCAAGTAAATGAATAAAACTAGCAACCTTCCAGAAGGCAGATGCAAAGGAGAAGGGTAAGATGCGAAATAAACCACAAACGAAGGCTTTCGTTCACGTCACGAATGGAGATAGCGGCCAGTCTGGGAGTGTGATGTCAGCTGGGAAGAATTCGTCACCCCAACCCCAGCGCCGAGAGTTGAAGTGTTCCGTTTGCCAAAAGTCTGGGCATTACGGAAGGAACTGCCAGGAATTGCTCTAACAGAGTGTTGCAGAGCGGTGGAAAACGGTGACTCGGTTGAACCTCTGTCCACTCTGCCTTTACGACCATGGACAACGATCATGTCGTATAAGAGTTCGTTGCAAGCTAGATGGCTGTCCGGAGAACCACAATGCCCTTCTTCATGGTGGACGAGTCGGATACTCGCGAACTCAGGTGCAGTGTAATAGTCATCGTCAGTCGAAATGTGCAGTTCTGTTTAGGATGGTTCCAGTGACGCTGTAAAACGGCAAGAAAAGAGTAGATACTCTAGCACTCATCGATGAAGGATCTTCGGTGAGAACGTTGGGTGCCGATGGACCAGTGGAACCACTGCAGATGACTTGGACAAACGGCATACAGCGCACGGAGTATCAGTCGAAGAAAGTGGTGCTTGAGATATCTGCCAGAGACTCGTCGAGTAGATACAATCTGCTGGAAGCTCATACGGTGCACAGGTTAAACCTCCCTGCACAGAAGCTGGATTCAGCGAAGTTGGTCCAGGAGTTTAAGCACCTTGCTCTGGATTTCTAAGAAGTTTCTGTTTTCGGCATTATAAGTAAGATGATCAAGGCATTCCAAATGGTAATGGTGCACAGGGAAAATTGGAATTATCTCACTACGCGGCGCTAGTGTACATGTGAACTTCCTGTATCTATAAACTATATCTTGAAATCCTCGTCATCTACGAAGTCAGGACATCTACGTGAAGTCCACACGCAGATTAGTGTCGCGTAGTGAGAAAATCCTGAACTAACCAGCCCTCAAATTAGAAGACATTGGTCACCTGGACAACTTTTATGAAACTTTATAAATAGTAAAGATCTTAAGATATATTTTATACAGAAAATTAACTTACTTGTTCTCTAACCTATCCCCCTTAACCTACTGTGCAATTTTGCCAAGAACAGTAACCTTTTATATGGCCAGGTTCATAGGATATTCCATGTGGCTGTCTTACCAATCTGGCCAACCTTACCTCGCAGGTTTTTTTTCTTTCATTATTCAGTCTGTTTTTGATTCGTGAGATATATTTTATACAGGACATTTACTTACTTGTTCTCTAACCAATCCACCTTAAATTACTGTGCAATTTTGCCGAAGACAGTAACCTTTTATATGACCAGGATCATAGGATATTCCATGTGACCATCTTACCAATCTGGCCAACAAAGGTTGGCTCACAGATTTTTTTCTTTCATTATACAGTCTGTTTTTGATTCGTGTTCATCAAATCAAAAGGAAATTTTCTGAAAATCAATGTAATTAAGGGTTTTTAGTAGTACTCTAAAGATCAATATTCACTTAATATATCGCTGTTGTGGGTAAGTTTCCAACTCCAGTGAGCAAACCGATTTTGTTGTGCGGTAAGCTTTAAGCTAAAATAAACAATTTATTATATCTTTTCTCTTCAATATTCCTCGCAAACTTACAATTTTGGTGACCTTAGGAAATGTTAGGATCCTATCACGCCTTCACGGGTATTAATTTGGGAATTTACTGTACTGCATATAGGCATATTTAGGTTATGTAACAGCGATAATAATTTCATTTACTTACGATCTAATTATGGTTATAAGTAGCTTTAATATGTTCTAGTTGCGTTGAAGTTCTAACCCATGTAGTAGATGTCCTAAATTAAAGCATAAATCAGCGTAAGAATTCGGTTTCTACCGATTCCAAAGGAATACACATGTTACCTGGTGTAAACAACAATTCCCGTGATAGCACATATTAGCATTAATCACTAGCATGGGTTTCGTTCTAATTAGTTTACGTAACTGTATTTACTCTAGGTAAGTTAGTTTAAGTTTTAGGATAATCAACTAGACTAACGTTAGACACTTTTACTGTAGGAATATTAAGTTTTTATAGAACTCAATAAATCACTGAACATCTACGATCGATTTCTGAATACCGTATTGTTCCAATGATGTTTACGTTTTTCTCCTTTGTCCCGTCGTTGTCAGAGGATCGTCCGACAGGCCATTGTAGATCGGTCTGTCTCTGCCGGCCACAGTTGAGTTGCGACGGGGGGTCTCGTCGTGACATTCCGCCACCCGTAAACCCTGGTGATGCTCCTGATGCACTGGATCTCCTTGATCAGGTTTACTACTCTCCGAAACGTCGAGAACCGCTAGTTTCACTGCTGGTCGTCGCAGTACTCCAGATGCTGTCCGGACTAGGGCCTGACGGACTCGTCCATCCCGTCCAGGAATAACTTCTTCCACTCGTCCTCGAGTCCACTGGTCCCTCACCGTTCCACTCACTACCAACACCAGATCACCGATTGCTATGTCCCGAACTTCTTCGAACCATTTTCCTCTTCGTGTTATCACTGGCAGATACTCCTTCACCCATCTTGACCAGAACTCGTTGGTGATGGCCTGTGCTAGCTTCCAACTGCTACGCAGGACCACCGGGCTATTAGTAGGTTCGTCCGGCCGGATCTTGTCACCATTGGAAGATCCCAGCAGAAAGTGGTTAGGCGTTAGAGCTTCTTGGTCTGCCGATTCGAGTGGGATGTAGGTGAGCGGTCGCGTGTTGATCATCGCTTCGGTTTCTACGAGAATCGTTTCCAGGACTTCATCACTTGGTCTGCGAGGAGCGTCAGCTACGGCTCCCATTGCCACTTTCACCGATCGAACTAGACGCTCCCACGCTCCACCCATATGTGGAGCCGCTGGTGGAATGAATCTCCATTGAGTATTCGCATTCGTGAACGTAGTAGCTAGAGCGTTGTTCCTTGCCTGTACTTCTTCCCTTTTTAGCTCTCTGCTAGCGCCTTGAAAACATGTTCCGTTGTCCGAGTAGAACTCAGCAGGGGAACCACGACGTGCGATGAAACGGCGCACTGCCATGATGCACGATTCCGTCGATAAACTGTGCACGACCTCCAAGTGCACGGCACGAATAGTGAGGCAGGTAAATAGGGCTACCCATCTTTTCACCTGACTTCTACCTACTTTCACCATTACAGGTCCGAAGTAATCCAATCCGACGTAGGTAAATGGTCGGACGAACGGTTGTAGCCTGGCTTTCGGAAGCGGTGACATTGCGGGAGGACTGGGCATGGCTTTTCTCAGTCGACAAATCATGCAGGTCTTCGACACCTTCGCGATCAGAGCACGAAGCTTGGCGATTTCGAAACGTTGACGCATTTCGTTGGTTACGGTCTCTCGGTTGGCGTGGCGGAAACGGCGGTGGTACCAGTCTGTAAGAAGAAACGTAATTAGGTGTTGCCTGGGAAGGATGGCGGGGTACTTAGCTTCGGTCGGTGCAAAGGATGCGACACCGATTCGACCACGCATCCGAAGTATCCCACGCTCGTCGAGATATGGCCAGTTCTTGTAGATCGAACATGACTTGGCAACACGGTCGTGTCGCGCTTCGGGAGACCCTTGTGACCCAGAAAGAATGGTGATTTCTTCTGGGAAGGCTTCAGCTTGGGCTACCTTCCATAGTGCTTCTTCTGAACGTTTTAATTCGTGCTGATCGAAGACGCCCAGTTCCAGCTTGGATCCACATCTTTTACGGCGCAGGTTGTTGATGAATCG